AAAGAGACACAAGACACTAAGCTCTTCCACTGCTTCAAATGTATCTTTTGGGATTTGTTTAAAGTCTAAGAGGATTGGGATTGCCATGTTTGCAAAGAGACTTCTGGCTTCAGCTCTTATTGAGCAAGTGAAATACATCTAATTGTTAGTCTCATACTCCACTATAAAAAAATCTGAAACAACTTCTAAAAATACATAGTATCGGCCACACATACTGGAAAAGTTTCTATATGCAGTTAAGCTTCTTATCTTAGAGGAAGTTCGCCATTTTCACCATTTCAAATGCAATTCTCAAGGACTTTTAAAACATTATATATACATACTTTTAAATATGCATGTGAATATTTATACATATGCCAGTTATTCTGTACAATTTCATGTTACCTTTACCTTATCTACAACAGGAGTCATTCCAAGTAGGGAAGACACAAGAAATCTCTTGTTAGTCTTTAACCAAGCAGAAACCAACCTTGTAGCTTTCTCTTACCCAAGAGGCCAGGGAGTCAGGCAGAGGTGAAAAAAAAATCAGAGTTGAGGCACAAAAGCAGTAGATATGCAAAGCGGCAGTCTTGTCACATTACTCACCATCATGATGTTACAGAAATTGCTCTTCTCAGTGTGAGAATATCTTATCTTCTGGCTCTGAGACCAGCTGTCTGAAATGACGGCAAAAAGACTTTGCTTTTGGCTCTTTGGGTTCGAACTCAGATAAGCTGGCTTGGGCCTCAGTCTTCCCCCAAATCCACCGGACTGCATCTCCTCTTCCATTCCTGTACTGGACGTGTTGTTCTGGTTTTCCTCCTCTGTTGGTCCATCCTCAAATCTAGAGTCAGAATCAGGCTCATCAGAAGAGTGTTTCTTTAATTCTTCTGTGCTGGGTAACTGTGCTACAAATAAGTTTTAAGAGCAAACATAAAATATGCATACGACTTTTTCTCCCTAGCTGCAAGCCCCACGTGTTCCACCTAAAAGCCAGGCAAAGTTCTGCATCTTTTTCAGGTGAAGTAAAGGATTTCCAAGTCCAACTAGGCAATAGGAAGCCTCTGCAAGTGTTTGGTTTTAATCAATTGGCTCTTAATCAGCAACTCTATTAAAGGAGGAGCTGGAACACACCACTTATTACTTGTGCCTGCTGTAAACTAACATAAAATGAGTGGAGATGACTGAATTAGTTAGGAAGCTATTAAAAGGACACTGTCTTATTTTACTCTCTTCAGAGTGATTAAGAGGTATTAATGTTCTAATCCTATAAATACACTCATGTAAAAATCTAGTAATATGTCTAGTCTTAATGATTAAATGGGAATTTAGAGTATTTGTGGAAATTATTGGAGGTCTGTTGCTAATGCTGGTCACTACAGGGCCAGAAATGGTGAAGGTAAATGTAGGAAGCATAACCTGAAAATCTTATTTAAAGCATCAAGAGATTCTGGAGTTACTCCGTCCAGGCAAAAAGCTGACACTCAAGTGTAAGTATGTTGCACAACTACTCTGTACCTATGCAAAATAGATATTTTATTCTGCTTTTCAGAGAGCAGTAAGCTATGCCTACGCTGCTCAGGGGAGCTTGTACAATTGTCATAACTTCTTATAACCTGTGCTTTTTAATCACTGTGCTCAGTTACCCACAAAAGTACACTTGAGTGCATGGAGGGAAAACACTTCACTGCTGAAGCAAACAGAGGCTGTTACGAGCATCAGCCTGCAAAACCGGGGCTGAAAGTAAAAAATTCAGCATGCGCACACATGCAGGACCAGGAATGAGAGAAGAGCACAAGTGTCTGCTATGGTGAGTACCTCCTGTTCCTCTGCTGTCCTCGGGTATCGTCTGGTTGTTGCTATTCCCATGGGATCCACTATAGGCTGGGCTACCGTGTTATTAAGACTAGAGGGCACCAGATGGAAGTACATGCTTGCTGAAGTAAATTTTTTTTCTTATTTTCCTTTCCACAGCTGTTCTGCAAAGGCAGAATTGCTACTTTTGAACTCACGACTGGTTCCTTAGCCTCAGGGATTGCTTATGCTCCAGCATTAGAGCCAACTAGCACGGCTTTATCTTCACGAGTACATCAACAATTCTATTATTGTATCAGTTACTTACATGTCAGAAACAAGAATCAGTAATGGATTGGAAAAAGAAGCAAAATAAACAGATAAATGAAAACGCATGTCCTGTTCTCTTCAAAAATTTTCTATCAGCCTCAGCTTTGATAAAAGAATGCCTTAACAGCTTCCACTCTAATACTTCTCTTGCCCCCCCCAAAATAACTATAATGCAAGAGTTTGAAAGTATACAAAATTAAGGAGTTAGGTTTGCTTTCTTTTTTTTCAGCGTGTTTTTATTGTTTTTGTTTTCAGGTTTTTTTAGTATAAAATTAGTTGTCCTTTGCCTTTCTTAAATTTAATCATCTCTGAGAAAAAGGGAGAGGGCAAGGAAGAACAATGGGCAGCAGCTTGTCTTCTTATGAGCGTTTTTAACAGAAAAGCATAATAGTTCAAGTTCGGTGTTCCATATGCTACCAACAGTACTAAAAAACCCTTCAATTTACTTCCATGACAAGCGGCATTAGCCTAAAAATAGCCAGCAGAGTGCTTTAAAGATGAAGCTAACAGATAGAACCTTTACACAGGAGCATTTTATCTGATCGACTGCAGAACTTACCTTCATTTAGTAGAAGCTGTAGCCAGATAATGATTACGATCAACAGAATTACGAAGGGCAAACAGAACCAGAAGAAAAGAAGAGGAAAGGTCAGCTCGTTCACCAGAGGAACCAGGGGATACCTCATTGCTTGCTTCAGGTTACACTAAGTTTAGAACAGCTCGCCTGCTCTGCTTCGCTGCCTACCTTTTAATAGTTCTTGTTGCCTCTCTGTGTTAATCACAAGAAGGCGGCCGATAGGGATAGCAAAAGGGACAGCCCCGTGCTGTGCAGGGAGGGAGTAATAAGGATTAAACACGGGATAAGAGCAACTGATTTGATTGTCCTTCCCTGGGCTGCTATTTAAAGGATAAATACAAGTTAGGAAGCTTTTGAGGCTTATCTTAAAACAATAGGTTTACGCCTTCAGATACAGGGGAGATAATCAAGAACTTCAGGCACTTGGACACGACCTCAGAGTTGCTGTTGAGAGATCAATAAAACAGAATCAACCTGCAGAGATGTGTAGAGGACGACTCGCTAAAAATTACATCTCCCAGGCTCTGTTATTTGACGTGGAGCACAAATATGTCTCATATTAACATGGACCCTGTTTTTAGCCTACTCTCTCTGTTCCCATTAGGAAAATAAACCTCTGTATTTTAATTGTCATTATCTCCTTTCCCTCCAAGAAAGGCAAGCTAGGATGGTTCACAGGTTTCATCTAGAAATGCATTTTTTAACAGTACAGGGGGTTGGCAGTGATCAAAGTAGGAAGCGATATGTGTCTTTGGTAATTTGATGTTCATAGAATCATAGATTGTAGAATGGCCCAGGCTGGAAGGGACGTTAGAGATCATTTTAATCCAGCCTCCATGCTGCCAGGGACGCCACCTCTTGACTAGATCAAGCAACACATGGGGACCGAACGGGAATTGAACCCGCAACCTTGGCGTTGTTAGCGCCACGCTCAACTGACTGAGCTAACCAGCATCACACTGGTGTTTCTCCTTCAATAAAATAACCCCGTTATCTATCGCTGACCTCCCAAGGGAGTTGCTTGGCTAAATTCACCGTTGGTGGGGCTCTCGGTAACCCTTGGACGGGAGCAGCTGTGTGAGCGCACGTTGGAAGCCATCTCCTGCATTTAGCGCTCTGGCTTGTCTTTAGGCCCCTCAGAGGAGCCTTTTAATCCCAAAATCTGAATCAACTTTGCGGGTTCTTGTTAATTCACGTCAGTGTATGATAAAAGAAAGTTATTACCCACGCTTTGTGCCTTGGGTAAACAAGAGAAGCCGCTGG